ATGAAGGTCTTTAACTGTTAATCCTTTTACAATGAACCTTTAGATAGTCTTGGGGGCAGGGTGCTTTATATGAGTAATAGTGCCCCTTGTTCCTGTTCATGAAGTTAATGAATACCCGCAACAGTCAAGGTACCTGGACCCCTCCCCTCCTTCTCCCCCCCACCTTTGGAAGGAAAAGTGCAGTAAAAAAAAGGGAAAGGAGGGAGAGGATGCCTCAAGATCAGAAAACTTTACAGGAATAAGGTTGGACTCCAGGAGGGAATGAATCCTTAGCATAATAGATTTTTACAGACCCTTTTAGAGTTTGTTAAGGTCTTAGATTGTAAGATAAATACAGAAAAATATCCCCACACCAATTTGGTCTCTATCTGTAACAATTCTCTGAAGTATAAAGTCACTTTTTTTTTGAGATGCCACTTTTTTTCAATTTTATTCCAAAACAGGGATGATCACAAAATATATTAGATTGTGCACATTAGCAAGATTGCATTTGTGTGATGCTGTGATTTGTGGACATTCATACGGTAGCACAGCATTGTTCTGCCGTGCCCAAGTCATTATCACTGATTATGCAGCATGCTGAACAATTGGACAGAATGAACATATCCCACAATACAACTCAAATATACTGCTACTCAAAGCCTTCCAAATTATTTGCCCTTCCCTACCTAGTAAGTATAACTTGGGGCCAGGAATTACAGGAATTGCATTCGAAAATAGAGTATTGCATTAGAACATATAATGGAAAATATAAAAAATATAGTGGGATAACAAATTGCCTATCCTTGCATCGTAGGCCTGGTATTTTCATCTGTATCACATACTGAAGCCTCGTAGAGACAGAAGCCCACCATATCATCGTTAGGCAACAGCTGAGAAGTTACTGTGGAATACAGTACATGAGCTGCTCCTCCATTGGAAAATGTTGGTTGTGTCCATCCCATACACTTTAAGCTGGTTACTGAATTAGCCCAGTTACTGGGTTCATACAGTACAGTGAATCTTAAACTAATGAAAGAGATTGGGTTCACCCAACACTAAGTCACCCCCTCCACAAAGCAAAATTAAAAATGAACGAAGCCTAGGTTGCTGTGCACATGTCACACTTAGGTCTTTGACTGGTCAAGTATATTCTGTGAATACATCTTTTGTTAAAATAGACAGTTCTTCCCTAACTGATCTAAGATAGCTGATTTACATGTGTGCAAAAAATCACTTGATGTTTACATCTACTCATCAGTGGTGGCTCCAATTATTGGACCTGGAAGAGATTCAGAATTTGACTGATTCTATTACATTTCTGCCCTCCAGCTTCCCTTCAGGAGTTCAAGACTCTGTAATTAAAACAGAGCAGTCAGTGACTCAAGGCTGAAGTGTGGGTGTGCACATGTGTGTATGCGAGAGAGACAGAATGTTTAAGTGTAGAGCCAAACTTCCCCTTTATCTTCTAGCTACTCACCTTCTTGCATCATCAGCCACCAGTTTCACATCTGGGATTGGCAGGCATGTTTGAAAGTGTGGCTCCGAGACAACTTGTTATAAAGAAGCAAACTGTTGACGTGTTCTGATGAATTAGAAGCATGAGGTTTTGTAGTCATTAGCCTCGGTTAATTGGTTACAGGAAGTGGTCTGATAAGGCATTCCTTGCTCTCGGTAATGTTTGAAATCTGGTGCGGATGTTTATTTTACCTGAGATCACCCTGTGTGGCTCATGTGATCCTATGTACTATTTTAAGCTGATCCACAGGGCCATTCTTCGTTCCCATACTTCAGGGTAAGTTCTTGGAAGGCTCTTAATCAGGGTGCTAAGGATTCCTGGGCGGCGGCTGGTGCTGCGAGTCATTCCCATGCTAAGCAAAGTAAACTTGATTTGGGAAAACAAATAAATATGCGTTACAGAAGAGTGTGCAATCTTAGAAAACTCTCTAAGTGTCCTTTGTGTTCCTCCAACAAAGGATCCACCTTAACATGGATTTGGATTTTTCTTCCTCCTTGGAGCTAATACTTGGTTTTTCAAACAAGTAAGAGCACAGGAGAGATGCCACTACCCACGTTGTGGAAGAAAAGCAATCTAGAAAGATCACCATCTCTAACTGGAGAAAGGGATACTGTAGAGTTATGGGTACTGAAGACAAAGAAGGAAAAAGCAGAGCCGCATCTGTAGGGACTAATTAAGAGCCAAACAGATCCTGTGTTACTCCCTTCCTGTTTTGCTGGCAGTGCCTCTATTTCTTCTGTGCTTGCTGTCACATGGTGATGCCTTTTAGTGCATCAGCCCTAGAACCACTAGGCCCAGCTCCTGGAGACAAGGATGCTAGCCATGCAATCTCTCAATTTAAAACATGCTGTCCACTTATGGATTGTTTAGCATCACTGTGGTAGCTCTGAATGCTGCACGAAAAGGTGTGGGCACGTTAGACTGAGTAATAGTACTGCTAGAGCTCCATGAAATTAGCTGAATTTCTGATTGACTCACAGTTGTTTAAGTAGCAATCCTAAAACAGAGGCAGCTTCTGTACTTGCCTGAGCCTATGCAAACCAGAGGCAGGGGCCACCAATTGGTGCCTGTGTGAAAGGAGCTTTAAGCACCCTGCATTACATGGCCTGGAGAACGCACACTGTTAGCTGCAAATTGATTTGCTTTTGGAAAGAAGTACCAGCCTTGCCCGGGCTCTAACAGTGCAATCACTAAAGGTGAAGGAGGAAAGTTTGCATGCAGAAACAGAAAAGGCTGCCTCTGTTCATCATCAGTAGGAGGTGGGAGACCTCCAGGCCTGGATTGGGACTCATGGAAAGGAGGTGCTTGCTCCCTCCTTCACTGATGGGAAGACAAATGAAGACGCTAACATTCACATCTCCCAACTTTCTCACCCCCTTCAGCGTAGGACGAAAGTTAGAACAGCAGTGGGGTGACTAATGCGGCTAGTCTGAAGTTTCTTCTGCACGCGCGTTCAGTCCTCCGGCATTATGTTCTCAACAGCCCGTTTGTATAGCGCGGAGGAAGGGAGAGGGAAGACGCGTCTTTTGAGTCACGCTGGGGTAGGGAAAAAGTTACACCTTGGGCCAGTTTGAATGCAAACCGGCGGGGAGGGGAGGGGGAGAGGAGAAAGCAAGCTAAAGGTAGAGAAGGCGCGCCGGGCGAGCACTCCCGTTTCAGAAGGCGAAGGGTTAAAAGAAAAGGGGCGGATAGGCGGAGAGGGGCGCTGGCTCGGCCCTGCCTAGGATAGGCGACTGTCTGCAGCGAGCGCCAAAGAACGCGCCGCCGGAGCTCAAGTTTCAGCAGGGCTCGACCACAAGGGTAGGTGTCAGAGACACGTGGCTCCTGGTAAATGAGATGTCAAAGCGGCAGCCAGTCGCCCCCCTCTCCCCGCCTGGGGCCCGCCTCCAGCCGCCGTCTCTCCGAAGGCGTCTATCCCGCGCCTTCCGAA